CCCTATTGTAAATATTTTACACACTGTAATGAGTATTCTTGCACATATGCCATTGAACCCTTGGGCCTAAAAGATTTTCCAACTTAGAAACAGAAAAATTCTAGTGATGCACCAGTTAATTTAGATTCATTACCTGTGTGGCAGAGCTCTTCCTAAGGGAAAGATTGCCCACAGTCTATGATGCAGTTTTCTAGTATCAAATTGATTAATATGCTAAGTAGGGCCTCGGTGACCAGGATGCAAGACAATAGAGATGTCTCTGTCTCTCCATGAGCCTTCTTTGGAACGGAGGAGAGAGTTGGTGAGTCCTTTCCTTCCTCACCTCATTCCAGAGCAGGTCCTGGACGCTATAAGCTAGGAACCAGCCCTGCACCAAGAACACAACCCCTGACACTTGGAAGAAGCCTAGCAAATATCCTGGCAATATTAAACTGCAGCCCTGGCTGCCTTGAGGAGTCCACAGTAAATATCAGTGGCCCACACATCCCCAGTTTGCATCAGAGAAGCAATTCTGCATCCCCTGATCACCATTAAAATCCACCCTTAAAATAAGATGGCTCCTTAAATTCCTCTATTGCACAAGTCTTAATCCCTGGGGTGAAGAAAAGGAAAGGTAGAGGGGAGTTTTATCCCACACACACACTGAGCTGCTTCCCATTGAATTGGGACATACTGTCTTTATCTTAAATAGCTGCTGTGAGAGCCAGGAGTGCTGCTGCCTACCCTACATCATCCTCAGGTCTAGCCAGGATTGAGGACCCACTGCAGATGGTTCACTGTCAAGGCATAAGGACATGCTTTGCCTGGAGGCTGCCTCTTAACTGATCTCTCATAAGACTCAGACAAATTCCATGGCTTTAGGTAATGTCACCAAAGCCAAAATGGAGGAATCATCCAGGAAATTAATTATTTCATGTTTTTAGTCCTTATTAAAAAATAAAAACAAGCCTTTTAGTTTATCTCAAGTATAGTTCTAGTGGTCAAGAGCACAAATTACCAGAACACCTGGATTCAAATTTCAGCTCAGGCAGGTGCAGGCTTCAGGAGCAAGTTAGCCTTTCTGAGTGTAACGATCTCACATGCAGAAGGGTAATAATAATGATAATAGACCTACAGCACAGAGCTGTTACTAGAACTAAATGAGATAGTCTGTGCTTGCACCTACCATGGTGCATGACACACAGTAAATAATAAACGTTACCCAGTATTGTCATTAGTTCAGATATTGTTACTGGCGAGTCTCAGAATGACCCAGTAGGATATTATCCCCATTTTGTGATTTTTTTTTAAATGAAGCTCTAAATATGTTCTTTGCAGTAATACCCCCTTTGCCACACCAAACACACACACACACACACTCATGCATTCATGTATGTGCATGCATCTTCTTTCTTTGGTGGTTTGTGCAAGGTAGAAAACATTACTCAAGGCCACTTGCCATAAGTGTGTCTCAAGAAACTCATGTTGGAAAGGCCAAGGCAAGTCACCATCTTCAAGTAAGCTATGTGAGGCAGAAGGTGCCCAGGTCAGAGATGGGCAGAGGGGTTATAGCATTTGAAAGATGTGAAATGATGAATGTAAAGCTGAAAGAGTTTGAATTTATGCCCAGGGAGGTGGTAACTGGAGATGAGAGCATCGCTGTACTATCTTAAAGGGACCTTGCTGCTCTGTGGTTTGAACTTAGTACTTGCCATGACCAGGATAGACCACAGACGGTTCTGGCAGCCAGATCTGGGGGTGGGGTGCACCTGTGCTAAGTTGGGCTCCTGTGCTAAGCATGTTCATTGTAGCTCTTAGACTGCCTTTATGCTGCCTGATGAGGGCGGGCCCACCCAGCCAGTCTTCCTTAGCATCAATGTTAATGGTTATGGACTGTGTAACTAACACACCAGAGTGTGGTGTATGTAATAAAATGGCATCCACTTTACTATGCTAATGATTCTGAATTCAAGCCAGGCACCACAGTCCTCTTCTCTAGCTCCACAACATCCAGGGCCTCGGTTGGGACAGCTCAGTTTGCTGTTGATGCTGGGACAGCTTGGCTGGGGCCATCTGCCTGGTCCTTGGGGCTTCCCCACATGCTGCCTGCTGAATATCCTCCTCCCTCCAATATCTGGGGCCTGCCCTGGAACAACTGTTCTTTCCAGGCAGCCTCTTCTCATGCCTAGCTCAGCCTCCAAGCATGGTGGCCTCAGAGTGGTCAGAGTTCACACTGCTTCCCCAGAGTGAATGCTCCAAGAGAGCCAGGCAGTGACTGCAAGGCTCCTTGTAATATATATGACAATGGGATTATCATTATGTTATTCATATAACTAGCATACTAATACAATTAATGTATTCTTAATGTATAATTAGGTCCTGTTCCAATACACTTTTCAGCTTTGTCCCAGTAGTCTGACTCCCAGGGTAACAACTGTCTCCCACTGAACACAGTGGAGATGTTAACAGGAGAGGCCGGAAGAATGCTTCTGCAAATGGAGCTTTCTCCCCCTTCAGAATGCATGTTCTCAGGCTAGGGATGTAGCTCAGTTAGTGGTATAGCATCTGCCTAACATTTGCAAGGCCCTGGGTTCAATCCCCAGCATTGAAGAGAAAGGGGGAAAAAAAGAAAAACAAGTATATCCTTGAGTGCTGTCTGATGAGCACCTGTTCCCCCATGGGCACATTGGGATAGGTACCACAGCACTTAGCAGGCAAGTCTCAGTGTCCGTGGGCCACCCTGACATCCAGCATCCATACTTCAAACATTAAGGCTGCAAAAAAAGATAGGAAGGGTAACAAGGTCCAACGCCACTGTACCAGATCATAAAAGCATACTGCTATAAAGCATTCTAAAATAAAACCAAAGCGAGATGTCAAGAACGCAAGCCAAACCAGAGGGGCCCTTTGGCAGAAAACCTTCTGTAGTCTGCTGTCTGTGTCTTCCTTGAGCAGTTTCCTAATACCAGGAACTAATTTAAACAAAAGGGCAGAACCTTTAACCCATTATCCTGCGAAACCTTTCAGCTTCCCATAATAGTCATGTGAAAAATCTCACTTGCTCAAATGAGCAGCTCTGAGTTCCCTTTCAAGACATTGGAGCTTTGAGTAGCTCTTGCTTTCAGGGACTTGTTTTAGGCTGATCAAAGAATTCACACTCTTTAAGCTCCACTGCCCCTGCATGCAAGGCTGCATGGTATAGATGACGAAACTTCCCACCTGTCTCTTAGTCCCCTTTCCCACCCAGACCCTAACACATAGACACTGACCATCTTCCACACTGTGGTGAACAAGACCAAGAGTTGCAACTTTACCCTGACAACAGGAAAGTCAGAAGTCCCATCCGCCTTCCCCAGGGACCCACATGAGCACTAAGAAGCAAAGCTGACGATGACATGAGTGCTGAGTGTAGGCAGTAGGGAGGGCTCTGCCTTCTTTGTGCCGTGATGGTCAGAACTGTCTCCCAGTCCTCCTCCACTATCATTTGTTGGTGTGTTGCTAATTTACTAGTCTGACTCATTTCTGGAGACAAACACAGGCTCAGTGTTCACCGCAGGGAAGCACTCAGCTAGCTGTGCAAGGTGCAGTATCTCTGCATCAGACACCTGTCCTGAAGGGCCACTATTTCCTAACAAGCAGCTCAGAGGAGACCAATTTGTCCTCTCAGACCAGCGCTCAAAATTGATCTGGCATTGACCTGAAATCCGTTTGGTCCAGAACCCACAGGTCTCTTCCACATGGCCTCAGAAGGCCATCCCATAGCTCTCTGCCTATCCTCACCAAGTGCTAGAACAGTCCTCAACACTTCTCCCCAGAAAGGTGGGAACAGAACTCCCAGGTTCTTGGTGAGGGTGGAGGCAGACAGGAACCATGAGAGCCTAGTTGCTCTATCAACAAAAGCAGAATGCTATCTCTGTGATTTTCAGAAACCATGAAGAGACATTGTAGGAACATCTATAGAATGAAAACTTGGGACAGATGGCACCTGCTCTCAACTGGTACAGTGACCTTGAGATCATTCTCAGGCTGGGGGTGCAGTGGTAGGAGCTCCTGCCTAGCATGCCTGAGGCTGTAGAGTCAATCTCCAGGCACATTCTCAGTGACCTGTATGCACCCACTTCTTAGTTGCACTGTGGTACCAGGGCGTTGTGGAGACCCTGCGTCTGTAAGGCCAGTATGATGTTATCTTGGTGGAAGAAGACAGGATGGGGCTGCACCTGGAAGAGAAGGCAGAAATCAAAGATCATAGGTGGAGAGATGGAGAGAAGAAAGGCTGTGATGATTCAGAGGACTACGGACTGACAGACGGTCCAAAGAAGAGCCTTCCTCCCAGGTGCTCCACAGAATCTCCTATCTCTTGCTGATTTGATAACAAAATATAGAGTGGACCCACAGGGAGAGCAAAAGCCTCAAGAAATAGATGGATAATTGGCTCTGTCTGAGCACCGTTTGCATGCTCGCTGCTGCAACTGTGAGGCTTCGCACCAGCATGACTAATGCTTCTCCCCTCAGCCTAAATTAGATTTTGATTGTGTTTCATAGATGTTCACTGAATCACAGATGTTTGAGGTAAAAAGACCCAGACTTCTCAGGAACACCTCCTGTGGAGTGTGTGGGATTGGCCTTGCAGACATGGTGGAGGTGCTCCCAGCACTCAGCTGAGATCCCACTGGTAACCCCTTCCCTTCCAAGTCCTGCCCACAGGCTGCTGTGCTTGGGGCTGGTGAGCCGTGTGGCCCACCCTGATTGTATGTGGGAGTGGGGAGGGAGGTTGCTAGCAGCTCCTTGCCATGACTGTAAACAAGTGTACCGCATGAGTGACTTGTGCAGACGCTAGCTGGGACCCAGTGTCCTGTCCTTCACGGATTTCCACTGAATCACTGCAGGTTCAGGTGGAGTAGTTCAGGATCCTCGCTAGTTCACCTCCCATCGCGTTCCTCAGCCTTCATCCCATTCCTCAATCTGACTTGCAGTGTGCCTTGCGTGTAGTAAGTGCTTTCTCGATTTTTTTTTTTTTGCAGAATTTAGCTTACGAAATCATCTTAACACTGGGCCAGGCATTTGAGGTCGCTTACCAGCTAGCACTACAAGCAAGAAAAGGGGGGCATTCCTCCACACTTCCAGAAAGCTTCGAAAACAAGCCCTCCAAGCCCATCCCCAAGCCCCGAGTTAGCATTCGCAAGTCAGTGGTAAGTAGAAGAGAGAGGTGTTCTACAACCTGGGACAGGAGAGAAGGAGGGCTGTGAGCCTGGCCCTGTGTGGTGTGGGTGCCACTGAGAATCCAGCCTGCCCTTCCCCGTCCTTTCCTTTGGCCTTCTCCTGGCATGTGACCATCATCCTCTCAGCCTGGCTCCTGCAAAGTCTTGGAGGACCATCCCTCTGAACCTGAGGCTCCAGGGAAAATCACACTTTCACTGTCACCTACACAGCAGCCTTGTGAGGCCAGGGTACCAGGCTGCGGCAGCTCTCCTTGACAAAATCCCACCTGAAGGTCCAGGAAAGCTGGGGGCAATATTGTCTGAGGCCTCAGCTGCCATCCCATCAGGGACAAGGCCTCTCCCAAGCTCCAGGCCTCCAGAGGAGGTTCACCTTGAAGATGTCTCTGGTGCCCAGCTGATGGAAGCCAGATGGCTACGCTATTGTGTGTTGTGCAGGCCTAGGCATCATGCCTGAGAACCCTGGGCCGTGTCCTGGGGGGCTTTGCTCTGCCAGCTGAGGCTCCCTACAGTGTGCCTTCCTGCAGGAACTCCCTCCCCTTCCTCCCTTCCATAGGCTCTGCAGACATCCTGTCCCAACAGGCTTCATGAGTTCACAGCAGCCTCCTCTGGTAGTAGTGACACCCAAAGCTGGAAGTTTCCCAGCCTGCTTTCCATCTGCTTTCTGCTCTGGCTGCCATCCTGCATGCTAGAAACACTGGGACTGGCGCCGAATGGGCCCCCAGAACGCATTGCCCTCTAGCACTGAATCCTTCCATCTGCCCCACTGTCCTCCTCCCAGGGGTCCCAGTGTCATGGGGGAACTAGGCATTCTTAATGTTTGCAGACCATGTGGCTTCTTGTTTACAACCTTCCTTGGGGGCACACTCCTGTCTCCATTCTTGGCATCTCCAGCATGTACAGGGATGCCACGGTGACACCTGGTCTCTGCATCCCCTGACTGTTGTCGTCCTCCACTTTAGCCCTGACCCCTGACCACTCTTCACCAGTGACCGTACTCTTCTGGAAACTGACACTTCAAACTCACACTCTGACCACTGGTCCTCAGCACCTCCTCAGCACCTCCCCAGCACCATGGTCCCCAGATCTCTCTCTCCAGCTTTGAAGCACCCCCGAAATTCCAGAGGCACTAGTTCGATTTGTTTGTACCATTTCTACCTTGAGGTTTAACAGATATGTGAAACTTAGTGTGTATAGTGCAAAATTCTTGATTTTCCCCAGAGCTACTTCTCTCTCCATCTTCCCAGTTCAATAAACAGCACAACTATTCCCCATGCTGCTAAGGCCAAAAATTTCCAAGTAACCTTGATTCCTGTCTCCCTACTCCCCTGATTATAACCCAGGAGCAAAGCCCAGTCACTGCATCTCCCCACCCCTACCACACCTCCTAATCTGCCCACTTCCTGTCACTCTAGTCTGAGCTGCTACCACCTCTAGTGAAGCCTGCTGCACTCACCTCCCAGTGGATTCCCTTCCCCCACACGGAGGAGATCAGATCATGGCACCAGGTCACCAAATACCCAAACCTAATTTCTCACTGCACTCCTTGACACCCAGGCTTCCCATTCCTTGAATGCATAATACTCCTATGTGAGGCTGTTGTGCCACCTGTTCTGTCCTTCTGGGACATTTTCCCTGATCTTGTCATTCAGATCTCAGCTTCATGAAGAGGCTTTTCCTGAACCTGCAGTTCAAGCTAGAGCCCCAGTCATGCTCAAGGTCACTGCCCACTTTTAATTCTAGGTAGCATTTGTTAATTTCTTTCTCATCTTAACACTTGCTTATTACCTATCTTTCTCCACAAAGCTTCATGTATGAAGGGTCCTGGTGCGTGTTGTCACCCCTGGCCCAGGCCCATAACAGGTGCTCAGGGAGTATCTGTGGATGAAAAAATGAGGGCCTGAGGATGGATTGAAAATGAATCTTTGAGAGTGATGAGGCTGTTAAGTGTCCAGGAATGTACAGAATGTTTTGAGGACTGTCTGTTAGACTATTATATTCCTTCTCGAGTAGGCTGGATAAATCTGTTCACAGCAGGTGCCTCCCTCTGGCTTTATTGTGGTCCCCATAGACTCCTTCCAGCAGAGCACAAAGTGTTGGGTGCCATACGGACTCACAGAATATTCATCTAGACGCTCTCTCCGGGAAGCAGGAAAACACACAGTATATAATACTCAGGACCTGTGCCCTCATCCCATAGGTATTCCTTTTGCCTCAGCTCGGGTTGTTTGTTAAGAAATACTGCAGCCATCCCTAAGACTATGTGAAGTCCTCCCCACAGCCTTGTGAAGACACAGTGGGAACAGCAGAAGGCAGCCAATGGGCACAGATCCTACAGCTATCCAGGGGTGCTGCCTTTCCAAAAAACGCCTCCCCTCCCTTCCCCAGTAGAGCAGGCAACCAGGCCAGGCCAGGGCAAAGGCTGGACTGCTGAAAGATGAGGTGGGCAGCTGAGGGACGATCTTAACCCGCACGGGTCCTGCGACCTCACAGCTCAACCCCCACCCAGCAACGACCCGTTGGGCTTTGCACACACAAGGACTGACTCAGTTCAGAGCATGGCTCAGTGGCCAAGGCTCAGCCTGCCCCACCCATGCTGACCTAATCAGCTGGCTGTCTCCTCTCATCTCCCACCACTTTGCGAATGCTGCAAGCTTACCAGCCTGATGGTATCTGGGCTCTGCACTTGAGGTTCCCCAACCTCAATGCACCAGGCACACAGCTACTAGTCCCCATTCTGCATTTCAACCCGGCCTCATTCTCTGAGTAGCGTTTTTATGCAACAAGTGTTTACTGTGCGCCAACTGTGCGCGGGGCTGCCAGGCGCTTTCCCAGGTTTGGGGAGAAGGGCACCAAAGCAGACGAAACCCGCCCTCGTGGGCACACATTGTGGAGGATGAACAGACAGGATGTCTGGCCATAGGAGAGGCCCTGGGCGTGGACTGGTGTGCAGGAGCAGCTGGGAGGCCGCGGGGCTGGAGCGCAGAAAGGCAGCCGCAGGCAGGCGGGCGCCGCAGGTCACGGTGAGGACCTAGGGTTTGTTCTGACCGTGATGGGAACCCCTGGAGGGTGGGAGCCTAGGGTAGGCCGGCCTTCTGTCGGGGGTCCTCCCCCACGGGGCTGAGGTCTGCTGCTGTGTCTGACCCCGGTGCTTCCAGGCCGCTGTGCAGCGAGGCTCCGGGACGAGGGCGCAGGGTCCCCACGGGCGCGGGGGTGGGACGCGGGGCGGGTGCGCAGCCGCCGGATAACGGGCATCAGCCTTTCTGTTTTGAAGCAGATCGACCCTTCTGAGCAAAAGACTCTGGCCAATCTGCCGTGGATTGTGGAGCCGGGGCAAGAAGCCAAGAGGGGCATTAATACCAAGTATGAAACCACGATTTTCTGATAGTCGCCGATCCCCCCGTCCTCGCGGTGCCTTGCTTGCCACCGCGGCCACCCGCCCGGGAGGAAGACTGCCCTGCGCGTGGGGCCTTGCGCGGGCAGAAGGTCGCCGGCCACCCCTGGGAAGTCTTTTCTGCCCCCAGGGACCGAACCGCTACAAGACTTTGCAGCCGCGGCGGAGACCCGGCCGAGGTGGGCTTTCCCGGAGGCCCAGCCCGCGCCCACCGCCTCCCCAGGCACCTCCAGTGACTCGGCCCCAAAACTTGCTTTGCTTTTAGCTGGGGAGAATACCTTTAAAAAAAAAAAAAAAGTAAAGGAAATCTCTAATACTGCCTAAAAGAATAAAAATCTTGGGTTTGGTTTTTGCTGTCAGCAGTTTTACAGGACCACCCACCCCACGAAGCATCTGTAAAATCACTGAGTATGGTTTAAGGCAAATAGGACAAAACAACCCTACAATTGCCAGGAAGTTCTGTTTCCCAATTTCTATACTTGTGGATTTTATATGTAATCAACTATGTCGGATAAAGAAAACCTTAACTCTAATAACTGATTAAAAATTTAAAAAATTATTTAAAACAGAGGAATTTATTATGCACAGAAAAAATGTGTCTTGTATTAAATATTTTTATTAAAAGAATGTTTCATTAATGCATCGATAAGAAAACTAGGTTAGTTGTGCGGGATGTTTCCGGTGTTATTTCAAATAACTAAATTTCTATTGCTACCAAGAGAACTGGATCAGCTGTGGCAAAATCCTGACGCTGTCCACAGAGCAGGAGTTTCAGCCCGCAGAGGGCGGGGAACACAAGTGCGGAGGTAGAGCCACATGCCTGCAAAGATTGTTTTTATAATCGTCACAGTGTTTTCAAGAACATGTTTAAAAAACTAATAACAATCTAGGGCTCCTGGTGTCAAGATTTCTGTCATGGAAACCTTGTTTGAGAAAGGTGTTAATAAAATTCTATTGCAAAAATTTTTTTTCTAGAAAAAATAAATACACACAAAAAAAAGAAATCCAAAGTAATAAAACTTTTCTTGAAACAGACAAAAAAAATAATGTTTGCTTACTATTTGATTAAATAAAATTTACTTACATTTCTTTAAGGTATTTTAATTTTTTAATGTCTCTGTGGAGTATTTGTATGATACCATAATGTATATTTATGTAGAATCAAATTATATAAACAGTACCAATATCATTATAGAAAAATGACATTTTAATGTATATTGTTCTAACCAATCATGTTGTGAGTCATTTTGAAGTTCATATAGCGATATTGATAAATTGTGGAATTGTCTTAATGTTTTTTTATTAACCAATATCATTTTAAACGCAACTGAGATTATCACATCCATCAGTTGGTGAGTTTTGAAGAATAACTAAATTTTATTTCAGACTGACAAATGTATATGGTTTTAGTTCAGTGTTGAAAAATTTTAATACAATATTAAATTACTTGAACTGAACAGTTCCTTGTACATATTTTGCCTATTCACTGTTGATATGTATGTAGTAAACTGAGGATAAAATAACACTGATATATGGTACCAAAAGGAAATTGTATAGGAGCAAAGTGAATAATAGCTTTGCAGAAACAGAAGCATATGTGTAAATAAGCTTGGGCTTCCAGTTATAAATTTTGTAATTTTGTCATTATTTATATCCTATAAAAAGCACATAAAATAAAAAGAGAAGTTGTACAGTCCCTGGTCAGCTTGGCATGGTTCTGTGAGCACCTACCTCTCCGCTCCACCAATGAGCAGAGTCAAAAGTCCAGCCCTCAGCAGCCACAGCTAAAGGTCATTTTTTTTAATTGGCAAAATTGTTGAGAAAATTTGCTCATTTCCAAGTTCAACCAGTCTGAGAAAGAAGCACTGGCCTCTGAAGCTTGAATTTCAGCCAAAAGCCTTCATTGTCTTTGTCCAGTGGCTCACACCTGTAAATCCTACCTACTCAGGAGGCAGAGATCTGGAGGATCATAGTTCAAAGTCAGCCCAGGCAAATAGTTTGAGAGACCCTATCTCAAAACCTATCACAAAAAAGGTGGTGGGGGGGGGCGCTGATGGAGTGGCTCAATGTAGGCCCTGAGGTTCAAACTTCAACACGGGTTTGAACTAAAGAGGAATTGACCCCCAAACCAGGTCACGTCTACAGTACAGCACAGATGGTGTGTTTGGACCACCATCTACACAATGATCAGTCCTTTCACTCTCCCTCCAGCACATGTGCCAGTCATAAAGCAAGTGACGGGCCACTAAAGCCATACTCAGTTCTGTGGTCAGTGATGGCATGCTGGATCCTGTGACCATCAGGAGATCTCCCACCTGCCCCATTCAAGCCTGTCACCTTCAGAAACCCATGCCAAAGCAATCTTGGAGCACTCCCTACCTGACATGAATATGTCTGGGGCTTTGAACCCCAATGAGCTAAAGCATCCCAGGTTGAACGAACACTGACCTTCCTGAAGGAAGCTTTGAGCTGGTGTTTAGATTACAATGCTTCCTCTGGGTTGGGTTGGTCCCCTTTTTCCTTTGCTGACCAAGAAATCAGCAATCCTCTATCTCTGTGAATCAAATGCATATTTGTATCCATAATGGTTCCAGCATGAAGCACGGCACACTCCAGTTGGGAGCATTTAAGAATCTAATAGATAGAATCCTTGCATAGGACTGGCAGTATATAATGAAACCAGTGGGGTGGGATAGTACCCTTGGACTGGTACCAGCCTGAGAGGGAAAGACTAGGCTAGGCTGGGCTGCTCCCAGACTGGGGGACATGACCAGCTGCAGTGACCTTGGTCATGGAGGTCATAGATTAAAAGACCCTGTTCTCATTCCCCGCCCTCCTCCCTGCATGACATGAACCCACAGGAAGTAGGCGAGTCCACAAGGGCAGCCCCAGTGCAGGGCAGGGAAGTAGAAAGAGCAGGCCTGGAGGGGCAAACAGCAGAACCAACCTTGCATTGGATAAGAGATTTGCAGCTGATCTCCTTCAAGGGGAACTCTTAACACCATGGGGCTAACCCCCACACCATGGGGGTGGAAGGTGTGAATGCTAACATTACACACACACACACACACACACACACACACACAGAGGAATTAACCTTTAAAAAATAAAAGGACTTGTGTTCAATTACTGCATTTAATTTTTCCTTATTAAATTGTACTCTATGTTAAATCTAGGTGCATGAACCCTAGGAAAATTATGCCCATTCAGTTCATCATTCATTAATAAGTCATGGAAGTAATTTTTCTCAAGACACACCAGATTTTCTCAAGTTGGAATACATGGGAGTACTGCCAGCACATCTAATGCTTGGATAAGATGGAGTCAAAGATGGGCTTAGATAAAGGATGTGTGGCTACATTCTCAGAAATCAATACAGAATTCACACTTGTACTCTCAGTAACATTGCTCCTAGTTCTGAAAAGAAATGAAAATTGGGTAAGTGGTCTAGGTTCCAGAGAACTGAAATATAATGAATGTGTTCAGAAATCTATATGGAATAAAGTCTTTTTTTTTTTTTTAAAGTTGTTACCTTTTTAAATTCTCTTAAAGGCTATTCGATGAGTATGTTTTCTATAAAAAGCAATGTGATGACTAATAAATACATTTTCTTAAAATAGAATTGGGTGACCGTACAAGCCAGCATGGTCTACCTGCAGTGAGGCTGTCAGGCTGCCTCCCACCACAATGTACTCCACCCACGCTCCCCAAAGCACAGAAACACCCCCCACACACTTACAGCCATTGCCTCAGGCAAATGGACCTAAGCATCCGCCTGCCCAGCAACAGTCTTGATTCCCATAGAAACCACTTTCAAAGCAGGTGGGGCCAGGAGCTGTGAGCTTGCTTAGGCTTAGGTTGCCCAGTCACCATCCCACCTACAGTGTGATTCCTTTAGTACCCCGGAACCCGAACTTAGTTTTGTGGTGGAATTAACCTTAAGACCTTGGGGCCAACCTGGGGAATGCCAGTTCCACTTAACTGTTTCCTGACTTCACCTCAAGTCAATCTACTTACTAAGAATTCACTCTGTGCTCAGCGTGACGCTATTTGCCTTGGAGCTGCTTCTACAGCGAGATGGTCATTATAGCCCTGACATATTGCACTCAGTGTACCTCACAGAGAATCAATCATAGCTACAAATTATTATCAAAACAGCTTTCGTTTTTCCTCTCCCATAACTTTCTAAGAGTAGGTAATGACCAGTGGTGGATGCAAAGGCTTATACATCAGGCTGAAAGAGATCCTGCCTTAGCAGCTCCAGTTGGGCCACCCAGCTGACAGTGACAGCTGCAGCAGCTGAGGTCTCATCAGGGGCCTTGCTTGGTTCAGCCAGCAGAGGACCACGGGGGTTGGATGACAGACGTTGGGAAGCTGTGCATGTTACCAGTCCTGCCATTTAGGAAATTTCTATGTTATGTCTGTAAGAGAGCCAGCTGAGCTGGAGTCGGCTCTTACAACCAAAGTCATTGGTAATAAAAGCTGTTCAGAGCAATATATATTCAATACTAAATTTAATTGTCTTCTGGATGTCTCAGTGGCTCCGTCAAGTATACTCTCTGCTGCTCCATGGAGAGTCTGCATGCAGCCTGCAGTTCTCCCTTACACGTGAGGAGGGAAGTGGAGACGCCCCCAGGGAGAAGCAATATCAGCTGTTTCCTGACATTTGAGAGGCTGATTTCTCTCTGATTCTCAAAAGTGCATGCTCAGATTTTTTTTTTTTTTTTGAGAAGAAAACAAATCTCAATATGTTAAGTGTTGAGTCAAGGGAGACTGGGAAAAAGAAAGGTATAGGGACTTCAGGAGTCCCATTTTAGGGCATTTCTGGGGTGAGGGTGACTGGTTTTCTAAGACATCTGGAATTTTAAGTGAAATCAGTGGGTTTGGAAACATTGGCAACAGATTCAGTGCTTAAAAATTAAATGTGGGCCAAATAAAGCCCACCTGTGAGCTAGGCGTGCTCCATGCCTATTAGTTAGGAACTCTTTCAGGAGCTTTCTGGTTTTCTGAGATTTCACATGGCTAGATATCC